ATCCGTCTCCGAATCAGAACAAAACAATTTGTTGGTAGTCAAATTGCTGAAGATGAACGATAACGCTTCAATGATTATGTGATACAACACTTACACTTCAGCTATCAACGACTGTACATGTTTCCTCGCGTCTTCTCGCTTCTTTCCAAATGGAATTGTGTTAAGATGTGGTGCGACATTAACATAAGAGGGCAAACCTAAAGAATGCGAAGGATTAAAAGCACACACGGAAGTCTTTCCATCGCTTAAAGGCAGTATCCGGGCAAACTAAGGAGTTCTCTTCAAGTAGTGATGGCCAACTCTCTGACTAAGCTATTTCTCAAACGCAGGCGATTAATCCGTAGCAGTAGGCGAAGTAGTCGCTTTGAACTTGGTGAGCCCATTTCTTTTGGGTCAGCGCGCTCAGAGATATCCTTTAAGCCCCAACGCGTTTGCTCCTTCAAAAGTAGCGCTTTTTAACGAGAAAGGCGTGCGTTGTTTCGAAAGAAATTTTGGCAATCGCGTCTGCCGTTCGTCCCCGACCTGCTTTCAGAATGTCAAGCCAGAAGTTGACATTTGTTATCACACTGAATTGCTTTAGAAAACGTGAAAAACCGGAGTTAAAAATTTGCCCGAACACTGCCAATATGCTCAGCCGCTATGTCGTTATGCTTTTTCCCGTTCGTCTGTGCTTGAAATAGGTGGTTTTCTATTAGGTAAAGCGCAAAATCGATACATATTTGAAGCAAGAATGGAACAGCAGAGTTAGGAAAAAGCAATTAACGGCGTAGTATGGTCAGACCTCATGCTACGCAGTGCATTCAATCATATACTGTGACAGGAACGGTCAAAAAGTACCATGAGCTTTGACTATGGTGAGAAGCAAATGATGTTCTTCGCTAAGATCCGCGTCAGTCGGCCAAAGAAAACATACCACATCAGAGACCTGTTGAAGATTCAATCATACTTTTGTTTTTAGCCGCATGATATTTGATGAATTTTGTTTTTAAACCTTATAATTCTAGAGGATTTTTCATCAAAACAGTCTGCAGGGGTTTTACTCCGTAGCTGAACAAAATCAAATTGCAAGCATTCCTACTGTTCATATATCAAGCCGATAGTCAGCCGACACCCAACCCCTATAAAAGTAATAAATCTCATACCATACTGCTGTCGTAAACACACACTACATTAAGTTCTCGCGTAAAACTCTTCACCATGTCATTTGACCTGCAAAGGCGTTACATCGTTTTGTTCTGTCATTCAAGGAACCCAACGTGTTATCAGCCCAGTTCATTAATTCCGGCCCCATCGTCCAAATTGATGTTTTGCTGTAGTTGTCCTGCCTTACCTTCGTCACGAAGGTCCAAATTATAGATAGTCTTTCGTACAGAAGCATAACAGAAGAGGTTCAAGGAATTCATGCTTCAGAGTAAACCCCTACAGACTGTTTTCATGAGATATCCTCTAATTATAACTTCAGTCATCTGCCTTATAATCTTGAATTATAAGGAAATTTCCTTATTAGGGGTTGGTGCACGACTAAACATGAATTCGAAGTTAAATAGAGCCTAATGCACCCATTACATATAACAAAATGTCTAAAAAAAGGAATACGGCACCATGCACATGCAAACCCCAAAATTTCAACATGTTATGTCTCTAAGCGCCTTCGCCAAAAGAGTATTGGACATTCTGGACAATACTGTATATAAGATAAGGGTAGATAGTAGCAGGTTCAAGTCAATTGAAAGATAATATGTTGATACTTAAGGGCTGATCACAAATAACGCTTCGCACGACACCATCTTACTACAACAGAAATCCTGCATCATATCGTAGAGACTCGATAACATGGCTCGCTCAAATTTTCATAAAGGAAGATTGTCTATAAGGCTAGTCACCTCGACATGGTGTACAGTAACTGTAGGAGGTAAAAACAACTTCCTCATTTTAGCTTTCGAGCTCTATCATGGGATTGATCCTTGATCTAATATATGCAACTCATGTTGGTCAATATAAACAGTATACTCCAGTCCATGTGGTCAAAACGTTAG